TTCTTTTCTTTTCTTTTCTTTTCTTTTCTTTTCTTTTCTTTTCTTTTCTTTTCTTTTCTTTTCTTTTCTTTTCTTTTCTTTCTCTTCCTTCCTTCCTTCCTTCCTTCCTTCCTTCCTTCCTTCCTTCCTTCCTTCCTTCCTTTTCTTTCTTTCTTTTTTTGAGGCAGGATTTCTCTGTGTAGCCCTGGAACTCTCTCTGTGGACTAGACTGGTTTTGAACTCAGAGATTAAAGGTGTGCACCACCTCTGCTCAGCTGGATTTTCTGTTTCTAAATTCTGTATGAGAAATCAGAAATGAGGAGAGAGAGAGAGAGAGAGAGAGAGAGAGAGAGAGAGAGAGAGAGAGAGAGAGCAATTCTGTAGTGGGGAACCTGGCAGAAAACTTATCAAGTAATGAGAGATCAACGTTTACATCACTAGACGTGACCTCACTCGTGGGGCATTGCTCTGGTGGTTTGGGGGGGTGGTGAAGGCTGCAGAGTCATGATGAGTTACCCAGGAAACAGCCTCTGGACACAAGCATGGGATGCAGATCTAGTTTAATGCGGAAGTTCACTGGCACATATACACGTTTATCATCCAATCAGCTAAAGATACATTGTGCTACTATCCAGTGATCCTGAGTGGCTTACAACCTGAGTCATGTGAGGGTGTACACGGGGAACATCGTGTCCTGGCAGTGTGTCTGTGGACAAAGGGCAGGAGGCAGGCGACGCCCTGGGCTTGGTGCCGTTCTGTGGGTCTCCGGTGTGCTGGAATCCCATTATGTGCGTCTAGTATATTAGAGACTCAGGTATGTTTGAGCAGCCGCAGGAGCCGTCTGCTCTCGTCACATTCCCTGTCTTTTAGGGACACCATCTGAACTGAGACTGCTCCCTCCATCCCTGACAGTTTCATGTGATGTGGCAGCACATTTGGCATATTATTGCTAAAAATTTAGAACCATGAGGAAGCCTCAGGCAGACCCAAGGGAAGAGATTCTTAGTCCACAATGTTTCCAGTCTTCTCAATTGTGTCAAAGTCGTAAAAACAAAGGTAGACCCATGAGAGGTCTCAGAATAGGATGACTTCATATCATGTGGGATCTTGGATTGGATCCTGGACCGGACAATGGACATTAGGAGAAGAATTGGGAACACTGGAATATTGAGTGGACATTAAGAAATCATGCTGTATCGATGTTTTTGGTTATCACAATCGACTTACCTAAATTGTTAGCATTTGGGAATAGAGGAAGTAAGTTTTTCAAAAGCCTGAACTTGCCTTAAAAGTAAAAATTAAAAAAAAAAATAGATTAAAGCTGGGTATGGTAGCTCCTGGATATAATCCTAGCACTTGGTGGCAGAGGCAGGAGGGTCACTGCAAATTCCAGGTCTGTTTTGGGCAATAGATGAGACTCTGTCTCAGTCTCCCCCCACCACACTAATTTACAAGCCTTTTTCCTTCTTTCTGGGTGTGGTGATCCATGCCTGTAATTTCAGCATTCAAGAGGCTGAAGATTTCACGCTAGCCTTGGCTACATAGTAAGACCCTGTCTCAAAAAAAAACCTCAAATATACATCTCTACTGTATATCTGTCTTTCTGTGTGTATTATCTATTTATCTACCTACCTAGCTGGTGTCTATTCATCTAGCTCTCACAGGGAAGTACATTGAATAAAGGTACCTGCCCTAAATTAGTTGGCCTTCTGGGACTCCTTTACCTTATTTATGAAACGAAAGCTAAAATAGAATTTCTCCAAACTCTAATTCCCCCTTCCCCCTGGATCTAGTGCAATTAGCTGCATAATTGGCTGGTTTATTTTTGGGTTGGAATAAGTACTGTAAACCTAAAAGGAATGCATTAAGTATTAATGAGATGCTTGGGTTATAAAAAAAAAAAAAAACACCTCAACATTGACGATATTGAAAGAAGAACTGAGTCTCATGTCGGGGAATAATTATCATGTGTGAAGGATTTTATTAACTCTGTTAATTTCTAGTTAGAGCAAATAACGCTGACAGCTTTGCCTAGCCTCCAGCCGGTTTCCTTCTCATTTATTTCTAGCTGTTTTTCAGCATGTTTCTATCTATGGGTGATAAAAGACTCTTTGACTTTTAATTTTCAATTTTCACTCTTGGACCTACCTTTGGCAGCTCAGGACCAATGTGCTTCGGGTACACATGGTTGCCAGCACATATGTGTGAATGACGGAGCCGGGTCCCATCACTGCGAATGCTTTGAGGGCTACGCTCTGAATGCAGATAAGAAAACATGTTCAGGTAAAGTCCATTCAACAAATCCTTCCCTGTTTGACTCTTTCTATGGTGGTGAAATCAACATGCAATTCACCAGGAGAGAGATTCTTGGGGCGGGGGGAACAGAAAGACTCAGGCTCAGGAATCTGACTAGCTTACACGTTTAGACGCATGCCCAGCTTACACATTTAGTTGCCCAGGGGGTTGGTGAGCTCACTGGCTTTTACAAACATAGATCACTTCAGAAAATTACTGGGAAATGAATAGGGAATGGGGGATATGAGAAAAGCTAATGATATATGGGGTCTCCATCCAGGAAAAATTTTAGAACCCTGTACACTGGAGACTTTTTTAAGCAAATAGAGGAAGTCAGCTGGGCCGTAATTATTTGGTGTGATAGGCTGAACTGATCTTTTTCCAGTTAAAACTTGGCCTGAGACTTTTCTGTAGTGTTGATCTTTAAGCTGGAATCTTTTTTAGCAAAGGAGGCTTTGTAAGGGCTTGATTTAGAGCCACACAGACCTTCCAAGGTGTTGGAAGCGGGGACATTCTTGACCGGTTCTAGCCGATCAATCTTCAGTGACTCAGGGCCTTGTGACTTGGCTAACGAGCCCCTGCCGGGACCATTAATCCTCATTAATTTGATTTAAACTCACTGGTGGAACAGGGCAGCATTTGTACACATCAAAGGCCTCCATTCGGAGGGGCATTCTTGCTCTTGAGGTGCTGCTGAGGTTGGTACATTAGTGCTTTTCAGATTTGATCCATCTGCTCTTCTTCCTCGGGGAACTAGATATATGAAGGGAAATGGCACATCACTGGATCCCTTTATTTATTTTATTTTTTTTGAGACAGAGTCTCCTGCAGCCCAGGCTGGCCCTTCAGTAACCCTAAGTGCTGGGGTTACTTACTGTATATTGAGTGCATGTGTGCCACCACGTCTGGCTCTTCGCCTCTTTAAGAAGTGGAATCAGGCCAGACATGGCTTCTAATCCCAGCTGCTGCAGAGACAGAAGCAGGAGGACTATGATCAGTACAAGACTAGGAACAAGGACGGTGCTTTGGCCCTTGTAATGGCAGAGAAAGAATCTGTGTCTCCCAGGAGCCTTTCTGGGTTCCCTAAGCTATTTTCACTTGTCCTAGGCCACTGGACACAGGACCGGTGTGTTTTTTCCCTCTTTTCTCCACTTAAGTTTGGGCAAGCTCTCTTAATCTCCGAAATACTGTTTATGTGATAAAGGAAAGTACTTCGGGATTTAATTGAATATATCATCATTAATCTTATTAAGCTATTATTTTTTCTTTTTCTCTATGAGAAAGAGAGAGAGGGAGGGAGGGGAAGAGAGAGAGAGAGAGAGAGAGAGAGAGAGAGAGAGAGAGAGAGAAGAGAACATTAGTTTCTATTAGTGTTTTTTGTCCCACATCATAAGGTATCAGTGGTTGGTCTTTGGGCAACATAGTCCTTTGCGTGTGTGTGTGTGTGTGTGTGTGTGTGTGTGTGTGTGTGTGTGTGTGTGTGTGTGTAGAGCATCAAACGTAGCCTGCACACAGTGATGTCTGTATTAGTGATTTGCCTCCCTGGTGTGACAAAATGCCCAACAAAAGCAACAGGAAGAAGGGTTTATTCTGTTCACAGTTCCAGGGTACAGTCCATAATGGCGGGGAAGTCACAGCAGCGGGAGCTTGAGGCAGCAGGTCCCATTGGATGCGAGAGTCAGGAATGATGGTTCTCAGCGAGCCTTCTTTTTTTTTTTAGTTCTGTTCTGGACCCCAGCCTAAGGGCACAGTGTCACCCACCTCTGTAGTGACTCCTCTTGCCTCAGTTAACACGATCTAGAAACGCCTTCACAGACATGGTCCCGGTGATTCTAGATTCGGTCAAGATGAACCACCACAGCCTTCCTAGTCGATTATTTTTGGTGACGATCTATAACTAGCGTTGACAGGCTTCAGAAATGCCCAAGCTCTGTACTACCACAAGACTCGGTGCCATCCAGGCGAATGGGCAGTAGAGAAGAGACATCCCCTCAGACAGCTGCAGGAGAGCAAAGGGGAAGGAAGGGCCGGGGAACAGATCAGGCCGAGGGTGTACCATGTGGGGAAGGAAGCCGTTTCTTTTTCCCGGAACACAGGGTGTAGCTCTCGGCCACTGCTGAAGGCTTCATCCTCAGGGCTGGCTGGGGCCAACAGAGCTTTGTATTCCAGAAGTTCGTGTTTCGTGTTCTGTTTAACTTAACGGGTAAACATTTTCTTTCCTGCGTGGTTTGCGTCAGTCCGAAACAAGTGTGCTCTGGGCACTCACGGCTGCCAGCACATCTGTGTGAGCGACGACGGAGCAGCGTCCTACCACTGCGACTGCTTCCCGGGCTACACCTTGAACGACGACGAGAGGACATGTTCAGGTGAAGACTGGCCCTTTAAGTAGGTTTTTGTTCAATGGGACCATCTAGGAGGAAGCCATTTTCCTTTTTAATTGTTAGGATATCGAGTTACTGTCCTCTCCAGCCACGTAGTTTGCTTCCTGTGATTTGACCCCATCCTCTTCTCTCACCTTCCTTCCTAATGAATGTCTCTAAGCCTGTGTTTTGCTATTGTGATAAAATACGCATAATGGCAAACTTACTATCCCAACAGTGCGTCACCGCAGTTCGTCTCCGGAGTATTTTTGCCTTTCCTGCACTTGCAGGACAGTGACGGATGTTTCCCACTCTGCTAGAGACGGGTCAGCTTCCTCCCAAATGTCAACGGGGACTTTGATAGGCCTCCTTAGGTCAGTTTAGGGGAGTACTGCCGCTTTAACAGTCTCCCAGTGCACTCAGTACTGTGGGTCTCTTTCTGCTTGTTCACTTCTTCAATTTCTTTGAATGGTGTTCTGTAATTTTCAGTGTACAAGTCATACACTTGAAAACATACCTAAGTATTTTATTCTTCTTTTATGTCACTGCGAATGGATCTTTCAGCTTTCAATTTTGCTACACCCCTGCTCTATGATTTTCTAAGGCATGTTTTAGTAGGAATATCCCATTGGGCATGTGGCTTCACAGCTCTTAGCATCTGTTAAGGAAGAACACTGGACTGACTGTCCATCTTAGAGTCTGCACAGAGATGATTGGCATGTGGCTGATTTGGGCAGATATTTATGGCCAGGAATGGGCACGAGGATCAGTAGTTCAGGCCAGCGTGGGCTGTCTGAGACTCTGTTTCACAAATTAGACAGGGGCTGGGGGCATGGCTGAGGGCAAGTAAAGATGTGGGTTCAGATCCCAGGTACCCACTACAGAGTCAGGTGTGGGAGTCCATGCCTGTAATCCCAGAATTCTGTGGGCTTGTTGGCCAATCAGTGAGCTCCAGGTTTGGTGAGAGCATCTGTCTCACTGGTCTGTCACCCCTCGTCTACACACACACACACA